GAACTTTTGTTAAACAATATTTGATTTGTTATTGATTTGAAATGGTTTTTTTATATTAAAAAAGCTTATTTAACTGCTGGCTAAAGTAGCTTTAAATTTTTAAGACTTTTGCTAGCAACAAGTGTGGGGCTGCTGTTTTTTTTTTTTTTTTGTTTTAAAATAAAATGATTTATATGTTTTATATTAAACTGGGTGGGGAAACCCTTTTTATGAAAAAATAAAAAACTCCAGCATTTTAAGTTCTTAAGGCAAATTTGCTCTTCTTTCAAATTCGGTTCGTTTAATTTTTGGCGTCACAGCCCACATACTTAAAACTTAATATTGTTGTTGTTGCTTTGGCTGTTAGCTGCTTTTAAAGTTTTGTCTCCTTTGTTTTAAGATGATGTACATACACTGTCGATAACAAATTTTAAATACAATTTACGAGTTTTTTTTTTTTGCAAAATTTGTGAATATTGACGCGTTTTTTGTTTCAACAATTTTCCCACGCTTTAATAGCTTTTTTTGTTTTGTTTTTGTGGTAAAAACTAAAACTTGTTTTTTGGGGTTTTTAATTTAAAACAAGCTTTTTTTCTAGAGTTAGTCTACTAAACATATGTTAGATTTTAAATTAAACATTTAAATTTTCTTTTAGTTTAAATAAATTGTAAGTTGCTGTTAAATTGTTTATTAAATTTTAAAATAATCTTGTTTAACATAAAGTGTTTGTAAAATTTATTATTATTATGACTTTAAGCATAATTTACATAAATTTTCATATTTGTTAGAAACTTTTATTGTGTTGTGTTGAATGATTTTTTGTTCAAAAGCAATGTTTTTTTTATTAATTTTTTTTTTTTTTTTTGTAATAAGTCACGATTTTAATTGATGTTAATGACAAATTAATATATCTTGTTAAAAGCTATTGTAATTGAAAATTTTTTAAAACAAACAACAGCTGTTTTTGCATAAATTTTGAACTCAAATGTCTGTTTTAATGAGATTTTTTAAAGAAAACTACTTTATTTAAACAAATTTAACAAAAATTCTTTAATTGATTTAAAAATCTTTATAAGAAAGTACTTTTTCAAAAATAGTACTTTTTAAAAAATAGTACTTTTTAAAAAAAAAGTACTTTTAAACCTGAAGCAAGTATAAGTAAGCCTTTACGAAATGACCCATAATTGTGTAAAACAGTACTTATTTCAAAAGGAAAGTATTTATTTAAGAAAATATTAAAAAGTACTTTTTCAAAAAAGTACTTTTTTTTTAAATAGTACTTTTTCAAAAAAAAAGTACTTTTTTTTAAAATAGTACTTTTTCAAAAAAAAGTACTTTTAAATCTTAAGCAAGTATAAGCCTTTTCGAAATAACCCAAAATTTGGTAAAACAGTACTTATTTCAAAAGAAAAGTACTTATTTAAGAAAATTTAAAAGTACTTTTTCAAAAAAGGTACTTTTAAACCTTAAGCAAGTATAAAACCTTTTAAAAATTACCTAATTTATATACAAATTCGGTAAAACCGCACTTATATCAAAAGAAGAGTACTTATTTAGGAAAATCTGAAAAAGTACTTTTTAAAATAAATATTTTTTGGAGAGAAAACAGCATCATTCTAAACAAAAAGTCTTAAAAAAGCGCTTAAAAAGGTATCTTGCTAAAAAGGTACTTTTTTAAAAAAGTACTTTAAAATACAAACAGAAATCATTTTATCAGAAAAATGCAGTTATTAATGAAACTATTAAAAAACAATTTTAGTACTAAACTGTTTACTACACATTCCTTGACAACAAATTATGTAAGTCAAGGTAAAGTTTTTGAACTTAAACTGTTTTTGTTATTGTTGTTGTTGTATACTGTATTCATTCACCTTTATAAAAATCAATTGTTTATGGATTTATTTGTATAATTTTTTTTGGTTTCATTTCATAGCCGGACGTTTGTAACAAATTCTGTTCTGTGATTTGTTTTTTTTTCTCTTTACACTAAGTAACTTTAACTTAAAGCTTTTTGTTTTTATATTTTTTTTTACTACTTTATAATTAAACGCAATTATTGAACAGCCAGCAGCAGCTGCATTTATAAAGAGAGACTTGGCATTCACATTAAAATACAAATAAAAAAAAAACTATAAGGGATATGCAAAATTTAAAACAAAACAATTTTAAACAAAACAATGAAAACATTTTGAGAATTTATGTGTTTTAGCCTTAAAACAAACAACAACCGCAAAAATGAACAACACAAAATAAAAACAACAATACTTTATCAGCATTTTAAGCATTTTTGAGGGAGTTAAAGAAAATTACTACAGCTAAGAGGGAAGGCTTTTATAAATGCTTTAAAACATTGTTTTTTTTTTTTTTTTTAATAAATAATTAACATTTAAATTAAAGGCCATTTAATTTTGTTTTAAAGAAAAAGAGAAGTTACTTAAACTAAATGAAGAATTTCCTTTAAAGCTTAAAGCTCTTTAATTTAAGAAAGCTTAAAGCTAGAAATTTTAAGTTTATAGCAATAAAAGCTTAAACTTTAAGCTTTTATATAATATTAAAATTGAACTAATGCCTATGTTAATAGAATTTTAATTAATTTTTGAAATTTTGGCAAATCAACAAAAAAATAAAGAAATTTTCAAAAATTAATTAATTTGTAAAATTCTTTATAAAATCTAAAAAAATTCAGCAAAAAGACTAAAATTTGTATAAATAAAAGCTAACAGCTTAAACTTTTATATAATTAAAAAATATTGAAATTTTAACAAAACATAAAATTTTGAGAAATTTTTTAAAATGAAAAAATAAAGAACATTTAAAAAAAAAACACTTATTTGTAAAATTCTTGTAAATTAAGCTAAAACGCTAAAATTTTTATAAATAAAAGCTAACAGCTTAAACTTTTATATAATTTAAAAATATTGAAGTTTTAACAAAAACTGAAATTTTGAGAAATTTTTTAAAATGAAAAAAAAAATAAGAAAATGAAAAGAAAAATTAAATTTAACAAAAATATTTCTAAAATTGTTAAAATAAAAGCCAAAAACCTGTAATTTCTCACATTAATAGCTATGTTGTTTAACTTTTAAATAATTTAAAAATATTTAAAATTCTAAAGAAAATAAAATTTTAAGAAATTTTTAAAAATTTAACAAAATAATAAAATTATAAAATATGTATGTCACTATTAAAAGTTGAAGCAATTTTTATTTGTGGTCAAATGACCACCCCGATTTATTTTCAAACGTCCATAAACAATTCATGAATCAATCTTAAACAAAAGTTGTTTTTTTTTGTCAAAACCTAAACCCACAGCCACAAACCATATCAATAAACAATTGAATTGTATTTAAATTTAAAGCGTTTAATATACTTAAACAGCAATTCTCTAGGGTCTGGAGCAGAGAAAGAATGAAAAAAAAAACAAACTGAAAATCTTGAAAAGGTTCACTCAACAATGGCTTATGGAAATTGTTAGTGTCAATAAACACATTTTTGCATTCAATATACAATATAAATACTATAAAACAACAACAACGAAAAAAAAAGAATCATTTCAATTTTAATTTGTTGCATATTTTGTCAATAACACCAACAACTTTCAACAGTCACACACGCTTCACTTTTTTTTTTTTTTTTGTTGTTTTTCTTTTAAGCTGTGGGGGTACAAGTATCAGTGGTTTTATATTTAATTTCTCGTTTAAGAAAACTGACTTCAACATAAAAATTGTCAACAAACTTTCAATGTCCAGCTGTGAATTTCTTGGGAATTCCCTCATAAAAGACATGAAGATTCAAGTATCAAAATACACACACCATATAATAATATAGACAACGAAAACGACTGCGACGATGACGACGACCCCAAAAAAGACAGTGAGTGAGTGAATGTATGAATGATATAAGATCGATCGATCGATCGATGGTTTAGTGGTTGGTTGGATAGTGAGTCTGAGTTGCCAAAAGTATATTCTTATTTTTTAGACAATTTTGTTAAGAGTGAAGGTGGTTAACTTAAAGTGATCATGATGAAGTATTTTATTTATGCTAATGATCATAGACCAAAAGAATTTTTTTTTCAAAATTAACCATAAACAAATCTTAAACAGTTAAGTTTTTCTCTTTAGTCAAAATTGTTAAGACTTTTTGTTGTTGCATAGAGTGCTGCTCAAAAACAGAGTTACAAGATTAGATCTTTAGATGATCATCTGTAGGTAGGTTGGTTAGTGGGTTGTTATTAAAGAGGTGATGATGTTGAATTTTAAAAATTGTCTTTTGTCTTTACTCTTCTCTCTTTCCCTCTTAACTCATACACAGAGTTTGTTTTAACAAGAAGCTGTTATCATCATCATATAAATGGTATCTACTGTAAAGTTTCTTGTTCATTTGTAAGTTGATGATTTGTAAATGTGATAATCAGTTGATGTTGTTGTTGTTCTTATATGATTGGATTGTTTTATAGTTATCAAGAGGCGCCACTGTTATTAATTCCCACATATTTATATTAAAATAACAACAACAACAAGAAACCTACTAAAACAAATAAGGAACACACATAGTTTTCTAGCCAGATATCATCTTTTCTTTAGGTTTATTTTTATACGCTCAACACCAAATCAAAAGTGTGGAATATATTCTCTAGAAAAATAAAAAAAACATCTCATAATCATGTTTATCTTGATGATCATGTTATTAATGTCTCTATGGTTTTAGTGTAATCAATTGTCTTAAAATTTAAATTTTTATAATTTCTAGGAAATATTATGACATTTGAGCACCAGTCATGCTGTGGTTTTAATGTTTGGATAAAAGACAACTTCCACTACTACTTTAAGCATAAAAATTCTAAAATTTTTATTGAATTTTTTAAATAAAATTCTCTATAATTATTTGTTATTTCGAATACAAATTTATGTGGCAAGGTGTTTAATTTATGTCTTATTTCTTTTCTGTTTCTATTTTCATTAGGGGTTATTTACCTTTAATTGTGTTAAAAAAATAAGGGTGTTTAAAAGTAAACTTACCAGTCTTCGTTTTGGCTTAATTAAAGGTCGATTTTGACCATTCATTTTGTAATATAAACCACAGGCATTGCACAAATAGTGACCGGTACCATCACGTCGCCATAAAGGCGTTGAGGTGGCACCACAATTTACACACTCACGGCCTTCTGTAAGGAGAGGGAGAGAAAAAAAAAACAGAAAAATAATAAAATAATTACAATTTAAGGTAAACAATATAAACTATTTTAATTCTAATTAACAAAATTTCATTAAGGTCACTAAGTTTTCTTTTAAAAGCTTAACTTAACTAAGTAGTAGAGCTTTAAGTTTTCCTTTAAAAACTTAACTTGTGAAAACAGTAGTTTTCCTTCAAAAGCTTAATTAATATAAGCAAACAAGCTTTTTATTTAAAGCTATTTATGCTAACTTCTTTTTAACTTAAAGATCTACTTAAAAGCTTAACTATTAAAGCTTTAAATGCTGATTTTTGGCAGTAAATGTTTTAAAAGAGTTCATAACCCTAAACCGTTTGTTATTAACCGGTATTTTATTATTGACCCAAGCAATTATTTTACAATAAAATTTCGTTGAGCCAACTAAGTTTTCTTTTAAAAGCTTAACTTAACTAACTAGAAAAGCTTAAAGTTTTCCTTTAAAAGTTTAACTTGTGTAAACAGTAAAGCTTTTAGTTTTCCTACAAAAGATTAACTAATATAAGCAAACAAGGTTTCAATTAAAGCTATTTTTGCTAACTTCTTTTTAACTTAAAGATCTACTTAAAAGCTTAATTATTTTAGCAGTAGGGGTTTCTTTAACAGCTTAACTATAAAAGCTTTAAATGCAGATTTTTTGCAGTAAATGTTTTAAAGGTGGTCATAACCCAAAACTTTCGCAATAAAATTTCGTTGAGTCAACTAAGTTTTCTTTTAAAAGCTTAACTTAACTAAGTAGAAGAGCTTTAAGTTCTCCTTTAAAAGTTTAACTTGTGTAAACAGTAAAGCTTTTAGTTTTCCTATAAAAGCTAAACTAATATAAGCAAACAAGGTTTCAATTAAAGCTATTTTTGCTAACTTCTTTTTAACTTAAAGATCTACTTAAAAGCTTAATTGCTTTGGCAGTAGGGGGTTCTTTAACAGCTTAACTATAAAAGCTTTAAATGCAGCCTTTTGTGCAGTAAATGATTTAAAAGTGTTCATAACCCAAAACCTTTTGTTATTAGCCGGTATATTGTTATTGACCCAAACAATTATTTTGTAATAAACCTTTTTTATCTTTAACTAATTTTCCAGATTTTTACAGTAAAACTTAACGTTGCGTAAAAATGCATAAAGAAAATCGAAAATAAAGAGAAGCTAGTTTAACGATTTTCCAAAAATGTTTAACCTCTCCCTTAAAAACAAACAATTAGTAACTTCTAAAACACGCACACACACATAGACAACATTTCAATGTCATAACTATATTTTTAACAATTTCATTATTATTATTTTTTTTAATTATCCCCTTACAAAAACACAAACATTAAAACAAATTAGAAACAGTTTACTCGGCAAAACATTGGAAAATTTTTTAAATAGTTTTCAAAATTAATAAATAATATTCTAATGTTTGGTGTCTTTTAAACCAAACATTAGGCTTAATGTTTAATTAAAATGTAAAAAGACATTAACAGTTGTAGACCAAAAAAAACATGACTTAAAACAAAAACAGAAAACCTGAAAAAAACTGCTGTATAATAAAAAATGTGCAAGGCAAACGTATACATCATTTCCGCTTCCCTGAGTTCTTGAATTATTTTTTTTCATTTTTGTTGTGTTTTTTTGTTTTTGGTGGCCGGTTCTTTTCTTAAGGTACTTAAGACTCAAAAGAACAAATGCTCACCTACAAACATTTGTATAACATTTTTAAACATTTAACCTGGTTTAAATAAGGCTGTTTGCATGTGTTTCTCCCTGTTTTTAATTTTACAACAGGTTCATTTTTGTATGTGTGTGTTTTCTTTTTCCACTTGCATAAAAATGTGTTTTTTTCTGGAAATAAAATGTTGCATTTTTTAACTTTTACTTCCCCTTGGTATAAAAATCTTTAGAATTTTTTTTAAATGTTATAAATATATAAAATAAGGAAATTTTATTTGTACACACTTTATATGTAAATTTATAATAAATTTTAATAATTTTTTTGTTTCAAGTAAATAAATTAAAACTTTTGTGTTTTATTCCACACAAAAACAACAAAGTAAAAAAGTTTATTTTTGTTTTAATGCATTAAAAAACAGTTAAACATTTTGTATATAATAAAGTTATTTTTAATTATAACAAAATTCATCTTCTTATTTAAAGGTTCTTAAAAAGTTTAAATTTTCAAATTTCGCTATTAAATTTTTAAACTCAAAAGCTTAAAACTTAAGCTTTTATATAATTTAGAAATATTTTACTTATAGCAAAAACTAAAATTTTGAAAAATATTTAAAAATCATATAAAATAAATCATTTTTCTTAAAATTTCTTTGCTTACTTAAACTTCAGCAAAATATTAAAGATTAATGCAGTTAAGCTGAAAGTTTAGTAAATGATAGTAAAAGCTTTGAGCTTTCAAAATATATTAAAATAGTTTTATGTGTTAAAAAAATTTAATTTTGACAAATTTTTGAAAATGAAATTATAAAAAAAAAAAATTTTGGCTTAAATTTTTAAAAATATTTGTAAAATTTTTTAGATTAAAGAAATAAAGTTAAAATTTTTATAATTAATAGCTAAGGCCTTAAACTTTCATATAAATTTATAATATTAAAATTTTTTTCAGAAAATAAATTTTTAAGAATTTTTAATAAATCCAAGAAAATTCAAATTTTTTTTCTGAGGTTTGTTCAAATATTTCAAACAATTTTAAGACTAAAGCCTATCAAGTGAAATTTAGATAACGAATAGCCATGATCTTAAGCTATCATTTAGTTTTTAAATATTTCATTTTCTTTTAAAAATAAAATTTTGACAAATTTTTGAAAATCAACAAAATTTTGCCAAAACAGAAATTTTGTGGTTTTGGATATTTTAATTAACTTATTAAAATAAATTTATACATTTGTTAAAGATAACTAAAGTTTAGTAAATGGTAGTGGAAGCTTTGAACTTTCTAAAAATATTAAAATAGTTGAATTTGGCAGGAATATGTAATTTTGACAAATTTTTGAAAATAAAATTAAGTAAAAGAAAATTTGTTTTAAATTTTGAAAAATATTTCTAAAATTGTTTAGGTTAAAGAAAATAATTTGCAATGTTTATATCTGATAGCTAAGGCCTTAAGCTATTATATAATTTTATAAAATTTAAAATTTTTAAACAAATACATTTTTAAGAATTTTTATAAAATTGAGGAAATAAAAAAAATTTCACAATTTTGTCCAAGATTTGTTCAAATATTTCAAACATTTTAAAGAATAAAGCCTATCAAGTGAAATTTAGATAACTAATAGCCAAGTTTTAAAGCTACCATTTAGTTTTTAAATATTTCAATTTCATTAAAAACTAAAATTTTGACAAATTTTTGAATATCAACAAAAACAGAAATTTCGGTTTTTGCTTATTTAAAAAAATATTTTTTTGCTTCACACTGTTAAGATTTGTTTTTTTTATTAATTTTTATTTTTAATTCAAACTTGTTTATTTTATTGTTACAACAACCCTATAATATGTATATAATTTTGATTTTTACTACATGTTGTAAGACACACACTCAACACAAACATTAAACGCCCCCCCCCCCCTCACCTTTACTCCATAAACTTTGCTGACTAATGACCATTAAAACAGTGGTGTACACTTTTACAGATACTATTTGAATTTTTATGATTTTCACCATATAAAACAACAACAACAATAAGGAAAATAACAAAAAAAATCACTAAAAACTACACAAACCATAAGAAAGGCCATTAAACCAAAGAGGGAGGCCTGTTAAAGAGGAGATGGAGGAAAAGGAGGTTTTGCAGCAGAACAGAGATATTATATGAACAATCCTGGTTATACACTTTACATTTAATTTCAGTACTTTTTATGACATTTTGACAAGTATAAAACAATTCATGTGGTTTCTTTTTTATTTATAAACAAAAACAAAAAAAAAACATTAAATGATAATTGTGTGTATGTATAGGGAGTTGTTAAAGGTATTTTATAAAGCTTTCAACAAAATTAATAAGTATTTTTTGTTAGAAGGTAAATAAAATATTAAAAACTGCGTGTTTTCTAAGGTGGGGGGTGTCATGTTTTCATAGTTTTAAAGGGTGGTTTGTGTTAACCGAAAGTGAAAAAAAATTATTGTTATTATATTAAAAAACAAAGTACATAATAATAATTTGTTTTATTTTTGTTTTTAATGTAAAATTTAACATGTGTTGATGTTTTTAAAGATTACTTATGAAGTAATAATTTAAACCCTCCTTAAAAAATTTGTTTATTTGAAGTAGGTATGTAAATATAGTTTGGCTGCCAAATTAAGCAGTTTTTTCTTACCAACAAAAAACATTATTTGTTTTATAAGTTGTTAACATCCCAAAGACAATAAAAACAAAAAAAAATTGTCATAAAATTCCTTAGAAACTAACAAAAAGATTGTTCCCTTAAAAGTTTTTATGGTTTTTATATAACAAAACCAGCTTGGTTAAAACAAAAAATTATTTCGTTGTTAAACTTTAAACTATCGAAACGTTTTGTTGTCTCTGATGTTGGGTTATAAAATCACGAGTTATTCTTTACTCACTTCTTGGTATGAAATGAGACTCGGCTAATAAATCAGTGCGTTAATGATGTTTATACTTGGTAGTTGTGCGTTAAGGTTTTATACTGTTTTTTTTTTTTTTGTTGGTTTTGTTTTTGTTCTTGGGATTTGTTTTTAGTGTCTCCTGTAATATTTTGTGAGAGTATTTTTTTTCTCGTTAAGTTTTGTACGTGAGTGCGTATGTTTTGTGACGACGACAATGATGATGATGATGCTTGGTGATCCACAAGAATTTTTATGTGTATAATTTTAAAGCACGCTTGTTGCTTGGTTGCTGGTTTGTTTGGAAACATTTGACCTTTAGAAGGTACTTGATATAAAAGCAGTAATGGAAAGGTATTAATAGATTAAAAGAAAATAGGTTTTTAGTAAAACTTTTGTAAAGCTT